AATTCAGAATAAAGAGAGGGCTTGATAAAGTAAAACCAGATAAATCTTTCCAAAGGTCTTGGACAATCCAGGGCCTCCTTCTAGAAAGAAACTGCTTATTGTGGTAGAACCAAGTGAGTGGAGGCATATGGGATAAATTTTCAAGCAAGGACCCCAAATCAAATAATGTAAACGAGTTCAAGAAACAGCAGTGCATTTTAACAAAGAAAGTTGAGATCACAAGATTCAGGGATAAAGCCATAAATTAGCTGAGATAACCAGATAAGAGCAGCTCTTGGGTCAGGCCATCCATTTGTGTCTAGGTATTTCTTTCTTCTTATCAAAGCTTACTATAGTTTGAAGGTGCCTTCAAAGGTATAAATGAGTCCCTTGGGCCTTAGCAAGCAAGCTCTTTGTGTTACCTGTAGCTTCAATTATGATGAAGAATGTTTCACTCATCTAGCCCTGAACTCCTATCATGCTGTAAGGATGTTTCCTGCAAGGAAGTGGTAAGTAGAGCAGTCACCATGTGTAAACATGTCTCCTGGTACCTCATTCAGAAAGTCAGTCAGTTAGGCAGGACTGTGACCAAGCAGAAGGGACATGTGGAAGTCTCCGAAGACTCTGGCCATGGTGAGAATATGGCCAAGTGATTAGTATGAAAGAAAGGGGCAATTTAAAAATTATCATCTGCCCCCAAAGGCATTGCATTCATAGCATTCTGCTCAATTATATATTTGTTCCTTAAATAAGAGGCTGTTGTTCCCATTGTTTGCCCTCAAGTTGTTAGTCAGCTGGTGACCTCATAATCTGCACAGCTGCGGCATCCCAGTATGTTGTCATGGAACAGATTGTGATGTCTTAATTGATCACTTTCAGGGGTTACAACTGTCAAGTGAAACCAGTATGCTGATTCTTATTAGTTAAATTAAGCCTTGTTATAGCAGAACCAGCTAATTCACTCTTGTGAATGGCAAATCCAATGCAAATTGCTTCATTTTGTAGATTAGAACACATCTAAGGCATTTTCTTTATATCTTCCTTTTTTCTTTTTGGTTTTTAAAAAATTCATGGAGTCCATATCCCCCACACGCCCCACCCCACCAATGCTTTTATTATACAGTGAAGCAACTTCTTGGAACAGTAAATTGAATGTAACTTCCCCGCACCATATGCATCTTGGTGATAAGTTGGAGTGTGCCATCTGACGTGCACAATTTAAATCAGGCATTGATTTGCATGACTCTGAGTGACTTTGGAGGACTCAGCTAAGTATAATGGATGTCGGGCCCTACTGCAAATTGCTGGGTACAAAGAATATCATGTTCTTCCTCATCACCACCAAAGATTGTAGGCTCCTGGATGCTTGATGAAGGGTCTTAGATCAATGCTTAATCCCAAGAGACACCTTCTGTGTCTCCATTTGGCCGTTGGTGAAGGCCTCCCTATGGTACCAGTCTTCAGAACCCCATTTTCAAGTGCCCCAATATACTCACCTACCTTGAGTGGACCTTTCTAACGTGATGCCTGGACCACCTACTGCTCACCTTAGTTCAGAAATCTAACTGTTGCAGAAGTGATGGACAGTCACTTTGATAGCAGTTTTAAGATACCTTTTAAATGTACCTTTGTGGGCTCTACAAATTAAGTTTTTTCAAAATCCTTAATTTTGGCATCTCAGAGAAATAGATGCCTTTGTCTATCTAACATATTTTATAGGTCTACAATGAAAACTAAATCGAAGAAGTAAAGTTATATTAATGTATAACTGTTAGCTTACAAAACACAATGGGAGCACAAGTATGTCCATCAAAGCAGTTTTTTTTATAATAGAAAAAAAATCAAATAATAACTAAATGCCCAGTAGTAGGCAAACAGGTACATTATGGTGTAGCCATGTAATAGAATGTTGCATAGGTATTAAAAATATCTCTAAGGACTATTTATTGACATGGAAAAGCTAAATGACATGAAATAAAATAAAAAACCAAGGTTGCCAAATTATATAAATGGTATTTCTCTACCCGTGAAAAACAATATATCTAGAAGTAGGAAAATACAACAAAATATTGTAGCAATTGTTGAGTGGTAGGAATATGAAGACCTTTCATCCTTTTATAAATTTTTTTTCAAGTTTTCCATAGCAAGCCCATATTGTTAATAATTAGGAAAAAAATGTAAAGCAGTTTGAGTAATTTTGTTATTACAATTGCTGTAAGAGTCTGTGTCCAAGGCAACTCAAATCTAACAGGCCTGGGCATGAGCTCCTCTCTTCCTCCCCAGGCCCTGCTCCTCCTGAAGCCTTCAGCTTCTGAGTTAAAGGCAGCTCCAGTCTTACAGTTGCTTAGGCTGAAAATCCAAAGTTATCATCCTTAACTCATCTTTCTTTCACATCCTCTGTGCCATCTACTGGTCAACCTAGTAGGCTCTACTTTCAGAATATGTTCAGAATGTGACCAGCTTCTTGACATCTCCCTGCTTGCTACCTGACCTATTCCAAGCCACCATCTTTTCTTGCCTCAATTTTGGCAGTAGCCTGCTCTCCTTCTTCTATCCTTACCTTCTTTGTGTCAATTTTCAAAACAGGAGCCAAAGTAGTTTAAATATAACTCAGATCAGTTATTCCTCNAATGTGACCAGCTTCTTGACATCTCCCTGCTTGCTACCTGACCTATTCCAAGCCACCATCTTTTCTTGCCTCAATTTTGGCAGTAGCCTGCTCTCCTTCTTCTATCCTTACCTTCTTTGTGTCAATTTTCAAAACAGGAGCCAAAGTAGTTTAACTCAGATCAGTTATTCCTTGGCTCAGAGCCCTCTAATGGCTCCTGAGTTAAAGACCCAACATGATGTCTCCCTTGTCAACCTTCTGGCCCCTGTATACTCGCTCTCCTCCATGCTCTGCAGACTACAGTGCTCTCCCAATTGTTCCTCTCCGACCTTGGGGAGTTGGCAGTGACTTTTGCTTTTGCTTTGAAGGAGTGCTTTTCCCTCCAAATAGCCCTCCAGTCAGCCCTCTTCATTCAGTTCTTTCTTTACATATCATTTTTCTCCTGAGGCCTTTACTGATCACTCTGCACACACACACACACACACATCCCAACCCCCTTCCTTGCTTTAATTGTCTCTACTTAGCACTTATCTCCATCTAACATATTATGTACTCTGTGGATTTGCTTATTGCCTTTCTTTCCCAAGTTGAATGTGAGCTCTATGAGGGCAGGAAAATTTGTTTAAAATTTTCACAGTGGAATCCCCAACCCCTAGAGCAGTGCCTGACACATAGCAATTGTTCAATAATTATACTGGGTCCCAACCATTGATAGGAAAGATGATCTGTTACAGTTGTGTGATAATTAGAAAAGTGCTGACTTCTCTGAATCCCTTTGCCTATCAATTTACCCACCAAGATTGGGCCTTTTGTATGTTGATGTTCTAGATTGCTTTTCTCTTTTCATCTAAATTAGTAATTCTAGATGAATTGGGAAAGTCCTTTTCTTCCCTAATATTAAATTCAGTGTTCATACTCCTAATAAATTATTTTGATTTAATTGCTTTCATTACCTAACTTAACCACTATATATTGAGCTCCTATTTTCCTCCAGGGACTTCTGGAGAGTGGAGTTAAACTGAAAAAGTCAAACATTGACTCCGCTCTTACAGAGTTTACTGTCTAGTGGACAGACATTATTAAACAATAATTAAAGTTCAACACTAGTACCTAGTGTGAGAGGGGCCACTGACCAATAGGCACAATAGAAATCCAGGATCAAATGTCAGATAGAAAGTGTGGAATCTCATAGAAGGGAGATGAGAAAGATGTGTATCAATGAACTACATAGCTTTTTTGGGGTCACTGCTTTAAAAGATAGGGTGGGAGGGAATTGGCAAAAGGGAGGATTTACTTAGCTTTGGAGAAAAGAATCAGGGAATAATGGGAAGGGCAGTGGGTTTAGAGTAAGAAGATCTAGATTTGAAGTTACCACTGCAACCTGAATTTGTCTGCAAGTTCTAAAAGCTGGTGCTTAACCTTTATGAGCCTCTGTTACCTCATTGGTTAAAAAAGAGAGAGGGTGGTGCTTAGAGTAGCTCTACAGACTGTCTCTGGACATGCCTTCTCTGAGTTCACAAAAGAAGCCTTGCCCGGCCGGGCGTGGCTCAGCGGTTGAGCGTCGACCCAGGATCCAGGCGGTCAGAGTTCGATTCCCGGTCAGGACACATGCCGGGGTTGCGGGCTCGATCCCCAGTCAGGGGGACGCAGGAGGCAGCCGATCAATGACTCTCATCATTGATGTTTCTATCTCTCTATCCCTCACCTTGCCTCTCTATGAAATCAATAAAGATCTATATCTATATCTATATCTATATCTATATATCTATCTATTTTAAAAGAAGCCTTTCCTCATCCATCTAGAATAAACATAAACCCAAAGGCCAACCAACATGGGAATGCAAAGGAAGCTTTTATGGGTTGTTGTAATATTTTTGCTAGCCTGAGACTTGTTTTAAGTAGTTCTGGGTTTTAAGAATCTTTTACAGAGCCTTGTCATTGCTGAAGTTTTCATTTTCATCAACTGTTACGTAAACATTCATACATATACATAAAATACAGAATTGATGCCTGGATCTCTCCCTTTTGTCTTCTTTTAAGCTATCATCCTTATTAAAGAGAGCAAATCTTTTCATATTATTTCATTTGAAATTATGGGTTTGGCTAAAAAGTCGTCATTTACAATGGAAAGCAAATGACAGTTTTACCATTTAACTTTAAACCAACACAAAGGGTAGAAATGAAAATTATTCCAATACAACCTGTATCCACAATTTGAACGAAAGCATTCCCCTAGCTTGATAATCTGGGGCAATCATTATAGGGCTGGTATATATATTTCAGAGATATTCCTACATTCAGCAGTGATAAGTAGTATCTGAATTTTCTGTTTTCCCAGAGAAACTTGTTTGACTAGGTGGACCTTATCAATGTATGTTTCTTCCCTCAACTTGTTTCTCTTTCTGTTTTTCAGCCTTTGCAACTGGACTGTGACCTCTGTGCCATAGTGTCCAACTCAGGTCAGATGGTTGGCCAGAAGGTGGGGAACGAGATAGATCAGTCCACCTGCATCTGGAGAATGAATAACGCCCCCACCAAGGGCTACGAAGAAGATGTTGGGCGCATGACCATGATTCGAGTTGTGTCCCATACCAGTGTTCCTCTTTTGCTAAAAAACCCTGATTATTTTTTCAAGGAGGCAAACACTACCATTTATGTGATTTGGGGCCCTTTCCGCAATATGAGGAAAGATGGCAATGGCATCGTTTACAACATGTTGAAAAAGACTGTTGACATCTATCCAAGTGCCCAAATTTATGTCACCACAGAGAAGCGTATGAGTTACTGTGATGGAGTTTTTAAGAAGGAAACTGGGAAAGACAGGTGAGTCCTCTGAGAAGCAGCCTTGCTGTCCTTTATGCTAAATCTTTGCTGAGTCCTCTTGTCAGCTATCAAGTGAGCAGAGTGATTTTTCAAACTGATTGTTATGTGCTTTGGACTATTATGATTACTTGATGAGCCAGCAACTAGGTCCCATTAATTCCACCTACACTACCTTCTGTTCTCTCCATTTTGATTGGTTTGAGGCTCCAAAAAACACTGGATGCTTTCCCAGGATATCTTTAGATTTGTTCTTATTGAGCTCAATTTGCTATTGATTAAATTGGATTTTAGCCAGAAGTTCCTTAACATTTCAAAGCAGAAATGTTATGGAACTTTAGGACCTATACTCTTTTGTAAGCGATGGCAAAAATTTACCTGAGACTACAAAACAAACGGGCTATTGATTATCCGATAAGGTTGCAGAGCTTCTTGCATGCAAATAGCCCCTGTGATTGTGCACACCAGGACTTGGTACCTAACATGTTAAGCAGAAGATCATATTGAAATCATGCATTACTTAAAATCATTAATAGTGGATTCTTGAAGAGAAATGAGGATATAAATACTAGTCACTCAATTATTCAAAANACTTAAAATCATTAATAGTGGATTCTTGAAGAGAAATGAGGATATAAATACTAGTCACTCAAGTATTCAAAAATCTATTGGCACTTTTCATTGCATCCATTTTTCTATAGCATTCTGTAAACCACCCTTCCCACTTCCTTTTTTTGAGGCCTGCCTGCCTCATTTTTTTTCTACCCCTTATTTCTCCTGTTTCCTCTCTGTTTCTTCTTTATCCCCTCTTCTCCCACATAACTCTATTGCCTGCCTTTTTTTCCTCTTTACAGAGATAATGAGTATATGGGAGAGAAGTGGAATTATAAATCAATAGCTCTTAGTTTGTATGTGAAGTTCTCATAAAGAACTGCTGAAGGAAAACATTGGAAGTAATTGCTAAAGTTGTACATTCTCATGAATTTTGCTTATTCGTGAATATATTGAGCATTGGCTATAATTCCGGTATTAACATTCTGGTTCCTCAAAATGTGTACCTTTTACTCTTCAATATTATCAGATGTAAACTTTTAACTATATTGTGGTATGTGCTTATGGGGGGGGTGTTCGGATATCACTGGGTATAGTTTCAATGCTGATAATTATTTTTGAATTTTATCTCCTATTGACAATGTAGGTTGAATTTAGTATTTTCTACTTCTGTGCACTAAAAATACACAACTTTTTATGAAAATCAAGACAGAAATAGCCATGCCATAAAACTATTCCCTTATACTGTTAGACTTACCAAGAAGAATCCCAATGGTGAGATTTGTATCAGTGTAGCATAAGCTGTCCAAAGAGACAGGCAGCCGAGATAAAAGGAGTAGGTATGTGCTTCAAAGAAGTAATCTCCCATGTAGCACCATTCTACATAAATGTGACCCTTCTCAAGGGGTTTTTGAAATGTTTGGTCTCTCACTAGCCTAGAGCAATGCAATTAATTAGATACACTTGGTTTTTCATTAGCCACAGTTAGCACTCTGGGTATCCCCCCGTTGTAACTATAAGCCCTAGAACCATTTTGGGGTATCAGAGAAGAACTTAACATGCCACTTGTTTCTATGTGTTTATATCACATGGGCTTTTTCTGTAAGGTTTTAATGAGACAGCAGTGTTACAGATGTGTGGATTGTACAACAAGGACTGGGAGAGAATAGCTTTGGGAGAAGCATTTCCCTGCCGGCTGTGAGGAGGGATGCTGTTTGTATAGTGGGGAAGAAGCTCACCTGGTAAATTGATTTGCAGGTCTTTCAGTTGTTAGAGTTATCAAAATAAATGTGGGGAGGGAAAGCGAGAGAATTTTTGATGCCGTCTTGCTGTTTTCTTCACCGAGTAATCCTGTCTGGCTGCTTCGCCAAGTACTACAACCACCCCAAAGAGGACGGCTATGCTAGTGGTTCAGAAATGAGTGCGATACATGGTTTTGGTAAAATCTGGTTGACAAAGGTTGACAAAATGACCTCAAAAGCTGCTGTCTCCACTACGATGTAAATATATATCTTAACTTTTGTTGTGCGTATTTTATTGTCTAAGGGTTTCTGGTAGTAATTTGATGTTCATTGCCAATTTTAAAGAAGAAACTTTGTAACCTTTTAATGAAAAAATTGTCAAACTTACAAAATAGAGAGACTAATAGTGTAATGAACCTCTGCATACCCATTTCTCAGGCTGAACAACTATAACTCATAGCCAACCTTGTTTTATCTATACTGGTACACATTTTTCCCCTCTCCAACAATTATTTTGAAGCATGTGCAGACATCATATTATTTCACTTATAAATATTTCAGCATGTACCCCTAAAAAGTAAAGATTTTAAAAAATAAACACAATGCCATTGTCCTACATAAGAATCAGCAATATTTCCTTAATAACATTATATATTCCTGTTTTCAAAAGTCTCCAATAATATCATTAATATTTTTAACAGTTAATTTGAATCAGGATTAGCATTAAAGTCCATACAGTATTCAAATCAGGATTAGCACAAGGCCTGTATATTAAAATTGATTGATATGTCACTGATATTTTTATTAATCTAAGCTTCTTTCCCTCTCTCTCACTCTATTATTAAAAAAAAAAAAATAGACAAACCAAAAAACAAAAAACAGTCATTTTTTCTGTAGAGCTTTCCTCAATCTATTTTGCTGATTGTACCACATGGTATCTCTTTTATGTTGATATTTCTATATTGAAGATTTATTAGGTTCAAGTTTTTTTTCCCCCAAGACCATTGGACCGTTGGGTGATAATTCTATCAGGAAGAATACTGTCTAGTTTTCTGTTTTTATGTTATCCGTCATATTNTGATAATTCTATCAGGAAGAATACTGTCTAGTTTTCTGTTTTTATGTTATCCGTCATTAATGNCTATCAGGAAGAATACTGTCTAGTTTTCTGTTTTTATGTTATCCGTCATATTATCATTGTCTAGGTCGAATAATTCATTGGAGGTTGCAAAATGGTGATAGTTCATCATTTCTTTTTCATTTATTTACTGATATGCTTTATAAAGACACACCCCCATTAGTCATTTTTTTACCATGGGAGAGTACCAATCCTTTTTATTTATCAATTTTAAGATATTGGTTCCCTGGCATCATCCAAAAGTGACCAGTAAGTTTTTTATTATTAATATTTACATATTGACTTAAATGCCTAAACACATTTGAAATATTTAAAATTATGTCCTTTTGTTTAAATTATTCTATTTGGGGTTGTGGGAACCTCTTCAAATTGGCTTTTGAGTCCCTTTGACATGTCTTTAGTAGTCTGGTTACTTCTTTGCTTCCTAGTATTATAGGATGTTTCACACTCTTCTTGTATATATCCTGATGAAATCTGGATTCAGACACTTCTCCTTTCCATATTTTAAAAAACATAATCTTTGTGCTACCGGTGCTTATTGATATTGGGTTGCTCTTTGTTGCTTGGTCTTTTCCTTGGACTCAGCTAATATATAAACAACATATGTTGTATATGTTGTTTAAAGATAAAAACACTATGAGTTCCAACTGAAACTTCCAATTCAAATTCAGAGCTACCAGGTTTTTATTTTACTCCATCAATTATATCTGTTTATTTTTTCTTCCATGTTGACAAATCATAGGCCTTAGAGACACCTATGTAAATTACTCATCTGCTTCATCCCACAATGCAACTACAACAATCTTAGAATTACAGCACCACCAGCAATATTATTACTGGAAGCGTTTTCAGATTATTTTGCATTGAAGAAGGCATTTTAATGGCAAGCATTCATGTGGGCCCATGCTCACAGTGTGTATTGGTTATATCCTTACAAGAGTTGTAAATATTTTTTCCTGAGTACATTAGAGTAAGCAGTATACATCGTTGCAGGCATGAGGAAGTCAGGAAATAGGGTTGTCCGTTTAATTTACCATTACATTAACAAGAGAGTTGTAAAGCTATTTTGATTTGCCTGTGCTTATTGGAACTTTTTAGCAAGTGCTCATTTTCTTCATCAAGTTTTTAATGGAGAGGTTATGTCACCATTACTATGCATAATTTATAGACTTTTTAAAAATTGTGTCCTTAGTAGTTAAAGTGATTCATGATAGGTAAATGATTAAATGGGGTTTCTCAAAGAAAAAATGGCCTCAGCTAGCTTCTTCAAATTGCCAAATATTTTCTAAAAAATAAGCCCCTCTCATTTATGGTGGTCTTTGTTTTTATTTCTGTTTTAAGGGATTTCTCATTGAGAAAACAGAAAGTGGTAGAAGAAATATGGAGAGGGAAAGGGACAGAAATATGGATATGAGAGAGACACATTGATCCGCTGCCTCCTGCAAGCCCCCTACTGAGGATCAAGCCTGCAACCTGGGCATGTGCCCTGACCAGGAATCAAACTGGCAACCTTTTGATACAAGGGACAACATCCAGCCAACTGAGTCACACCAGCCAGGGCTACTGTTAAATTTCTTAGAGTGAGTTTAGACCAACTCTTAAGCATATTGGAATACTGTTCAAATCAAATGAAATTTAATTTGCTTTCTTATCAGTTACTGACTAAAATTATTTGACTTGTTAATTAGAAAGGGTGACCTTGTTGGAAAGGCTGGGAGAAAAGAAAGAGAAGGCCATATGCCCTTTCTTTCTTCACCTTCTGGGGCCCAGCTTCCTTTAGAATTTTAGATCCTTTGTGCAGTGGTCACTTTTATATTTTCACTTACCAAATATTTTTCTGGGAAACAACAACATTCAACAAACCAGAAACCTTTGAAATTAAAAGTCTTATAGTCAAAATAATCTGGGCCAAAAGGGATCTCTTTTTCCCCTTTGAATGATTGGTGTGCATACATAATATGAGCCTGCTGACATTCACACATTTGCATTAATATATCTTAAGATTGAAATACCCTAGAGGTGCTGTAGGGCTGACTGTGTTACATGGTGCCACACTCAACATTTGAAGAATG